GACCTTGACCTGAGATTTCTGCAAGCACCTTTTATGTCTGACCTAACCTTTCTCTGACTGCCTTGGAGAGCAGAAAGGTAAGCCTTTGGGAGTGATCCCTAAGCACAAGTAACAGGAGATGGTGAATGACTCCCCGACTTTCTTGTCTTTGGGGAATCACTGAGGTTGCTTTTTGCCATCTCCCAGAGGTCCCAGCACAAGGAGTCCAGGTTGCCACAGTGGACCCTGTTCACTAAAGTGTCCTACGTTATCTCACTTCCCCACGCCCTTCCCAGGCTTCCTGAGACCACTTCCTAAATAAATGATGCACCTCAAATCTATGCCTCCTGGTTGGCTTCTGGGCATCCATCAACAAAGACACGTCGTGTGTTAGTGTGCATTTCCCTGTTGGGTTGTGAGCTCCCCAAGTACAGGCACCAAATCATATTTCTCTCTGAGCACTTACCATGTGATCCCTGCCAAATGCTTTATGTGCATGATCTCATCTCATATGTACAACTCAAGAGAGTGCCACTGTTATTATTCCCGTTGTGCAAATGAGGAAAATGCAGCTCAGGGACTTTAAGTCACTTGCTCAAGGTCACGCAGCCTACAAGAAGCAGAACCGGGATTAGACCAAGGCACCCTATTCCATAATGATTGTACACTAAGAATGGTATTCAGTAAATGCGGAAGGAAGGAAGATGCTAGCAAGGAATCTTGGCAAATACTGATGCAAAGTGCTCATTAGTTGGATGCAGGAGAAGGAACAAATACATCTAAGACCCAGTGAAGATGCTCGTCTGATGGGGGTTAGAGAGACTGGGAGGGGGCACCATACCTAGTACAGGAATCTGCATGTACACACGGCATAGGCTGCATGCAAACACCATATGATTAATGATCTGTTTTCTTTGAACTAAAACTTGTGTTTTGTACTGAATTCCTGCCCCAGTGATGCCTGGGGAAGTGCCGGACATTCACACCATTAGAAACTAACCAGATACAGAAACCAGGATGTACGTGGGTCAAGATGATCAGGGAGGGGGACTCCCTGGTGGCACAAGGGGTTAAGATGCAGCACTATGAAACTATCCACAGCCACTGCAGCACGAGTTCGATCCCCGGCCAGGGAGGCGACACACATGGCGCAGCAGACCTCTCCTGTCTCACCCACTGCTCCCCTCAGCAGTGTATTTCAGGAGATCTGCCTGTTCTGTTCCCTACTCTGTCTCTGGTGAATCCTCTCACTCCCCACACATCTGTCCTGTGTCCCAGTTCTTGTATGCATAAAAAAAGAAACTTAAAAAAAGATGACCAAGGAGGCAAAAAAAATTCTGGGGGCTAAACATGACAAACAGCTGGGACACCAACAGGGACAGGTTGCTGTGGCGGACTGTTCACTCATGATTAACTGTCTTTGTTTAACTCACTAAAAGAAGCCACTTGAGGTGAGATGGCAGAGTGTTTTTTTGGGGGGTAACCTAACTGCCACTCTCTCAGCTCTCTGGCTTTCTGGCAACAAAAAATGTAACTTATAGGGCCTCCCAGGTGGCGCAGGCGGTTGAGCACAATGCTGTGAGGCTGTGCCCAGCCTCTGCAGTGCCGGTGCAATCACCGCCAGCCTCGAACAACCCACATGGCAAGCAGATCTCTTTTGTCTCGCCCGCTGCTCCCTCAGCAGTGCTTTCGGTCAGTCTGCCTGTTCTGTTCCCCGCTCTGTCTCTGGTGAATCCTCTCACCCTCCCCACGCATCTGGCCTGTACCCAGGCTCTTGTACAAATAAAATAAATCTTTAAAAAAAAAAAATGTACCTTACAGATTCAGTTCCTGTCTCCACCATTGGCTGTGGCAGTGACAGGCAGCCCAACCCCAGCATTCACGTCAGTCCTCCCCCAATTCTCATCAGTCTTTTTTTCTGTTCTTTTGTTGATTCAGGAAGCATCTATTAATTTGTACTATATATATGACAGTGGACCAGGCCATATAGCAGTTGCAAAAATATTTAAAGCAGATTCAAGTTTACCATCTAATGGGGGAAAGAGGCAGAAAAATAAAAAAAAGCAGAAATATCTGAAAATGTAAATTGCAAAACTAGAGCTTTCATCAGGCAGAAGGGCGCCTCAGCCAAGCGAATTGAGCAGAAAAGTGATATGTTTTTCCGACGAGACGGGCACTGGAGCGGACAGACAACGTGGTGGAAGTGGTACTTGAAAGGTGAGCGTACTCGGTGGCTAGAGCAGGGACATGGAGGAAGAATGAAAGGGGAAAGACCTGAGCAAAGCCACAAAGCCAGGAATTCCTGAGGATCCTTCTCAGCATTCCGCCCTGCCCTGCTCCTGGAGGCAAAGCTATTTGGGAAGAAAAAGAGATGTTTACCAAGAACAAAACCAAGGATTAAAAGAAAGTCACTGAGGATTATAGACACATGGTAATTCACAACTGCTTTTCAAACCAAGACGTGCATAAAGGAGCACACACAAATCACACACTAAAGTGGTCACCTTTCCAGCAAGGACAAGGGTTGATTGAGATGACGCATGGGACCACCTCACTCCTGCCCTGAGAACCTGGCACTGGAGGATACTGCATAACCACCAGCTCTCACTCTCTGCTTGAGTCACACAACCAGGACCTGGAGTCACAAACTCTGGGGGTTGAAGATATTTCCCTGAGGGCTTGGCAACCGAGACCTCATTTAGAACTCCTGCACTGGGAGAAGTTTTTTTCTCTGCTTGCCTTCACCTTCTCCCCAGTCAGGGAGTGGGCAGGCCAGATTGGCACATTGGAAGAGACAGGGAAAGGGCCCAAACACTCTGCCCTGCTTTGTAAAGAGATCAGGTATGGAAAGACTTGCTGACTCTGGGCTCCACGGATAGAATTTGCCCAAGAGCCCCTCACCCCTGATGCCTGCGTCCAGAGAAAAGAGTTTCTCTAGTTGTTAACCCCCAGATAAACCTGCCATGTAGGTAAAACCAGTGTCTTCTATGCAAATACAGCTTCAGGATCTGCTCCCCTCCCAGTTTCTGACCAGATGGCTTCTCTCTCCTAAATAGGAGTTCCACAACCATCCTTCATGCCAGCTCACATGGGGCAACTGGAGTTTTACAGCTCTAGGAAACAAAGGCTGGATCAAGACTCGAGAGGTTCCAAGTAGCTTTGATATGCACCCTGCAAGAGTGCCTGAAGCTCAACACACCAGCAGTTGTTGAAGAGACATTGCCGTAGCCAACAAGCCTGTGCAGGGCCCATACCCTTGACTCCCCCACACTCTGTCACAGAGCAGGCGCAGGCACTTGGAGGGGTATTGATGCCCTTGGGGCAACTCTTGCCCACTAGGGGCTGAAAGCAAAAGGATAAAGGCTTCCCCATTTCTTCTTCTCCCACCCCCAGAAAATTCCTGAAGCACAAAGCTTCTCAGAAGTACCTGCTGGGTGGCAGCCAGTTCAATCACTCATCCTTTCATTTTCCCCCCTCCTCCCCTATTTCACTCTCAGGCTCTGCTTTCCTCCAGAGAACCCACGCTAAGGCGATGTGAAACCTCAGAAAGTATCACTCGGCTTCTGAACAACCCTGTAGCATCTAGTGGTCAGGGTTTCCCTGAGTCTTGATGACGTGTGTGTTGAAGGTGAACCATTCTGTGGCGGGGGTTCAGGGATTCACTGAGAGGTCCTCCACACAGCCGGTCCAGCGAAGGAGAGAAAAGGATCGCTCCGACTCCATGGGAGGCATGGCAGGTGGCTTCCTTTCACCAAGTCCTATTTCATTCCTTCGCTTCCCTAGAACCCATCTTGTGGGAGGACCTCTGACTCACCATGTAAAAAATGGGATGAACCGTTGCATTACAAGTGGGATGTTTCACGCACTTCTTACCGACACACATTGGGACATAAAGTGGGGTGATGTGGTTTGCTGATGTCTAAGTGCCCTCTACTCCATATAGAGATTTTAATCAAATATAGCAAGGAGGCTTCCATGTGAGAATTTAGCTCCCCTTCCATAGCAGATGATGGGTGAGAACAGGGAGGGGGCTGGAGAAGTGGGGAGAATGGGATCAGAATTAAAATAAGCCTGAGAGGACAGAGCAGAATTCTAAAGAGAAGGGGAAAGAAAGGCTCATCTACACCTCCTTCTGTGTGAGTACCTGGGTCTGACCTGAATGGCTTTCAAAGCAGAGGAGGAAACATCCAGAAATGTATATAATCTGAGAAGGGGAAAATTGAGTTTTGTTTGGGGTGAGAGAATTAAGAGCACAAATAGGTTCTTTCCTTAAAAGTAGCTTTTAGGGGTTTTTTGGTGTTGTTGCTGTTTAAGATTTATTTATTTATGCATACAAGAGCAGGGGTATAGCCCCGAGGTGTAGGGGATGAGAGGATTCACCAGAGACAGTGTAGGGAACAGAACAGGCAGATTGACGGAAGTACACTACTGAGGGGAGCAGAGGGCGAGGCAGGAGAGGTCTGCTGCGCCATGTGGGTTGCTCCCTGGCCAGAGATCGAACTCATGCTGCAGAGACTGTGGACAGCTTCATAGGTTGTGTCTTAACCCCTTGCTCCACCAGGGAGGCCCAGCTTTTAGTTTTTAGCACTCATCCCAGATCAAAAATCAGATTTTATGTTTAAGACTTTAACTGCTATCACCATAAAATTATCATTTTTTGCTGAACTAAAAATGTGAGAATTAGAACATAAAAATTTATTTCTGGGTTTTGGAAGTGTGTGAATCAAAAAAGTAAAATCATTTCTCCATGCCCTCGCCCACATAGTAAGAGCTGTTAACATCTCCAAGATCCCCAATACCCAGCCGCAGAGCTTCTGGAAACCCCCTTAGAAGCATATGCTATGTAATCCTGCCCTGGGGTGTTTAGCCAAGAGAAATGAAAACTTACCTCTATTCATAATTTCCCCCAAAAGTGGGCTCTGCCAAATTGCCCTTCAACTAGTGAACAGATAAATAACCGTGGTACATGCAGACAACATGATGTGCCCAGCAAGGAAAAGGAGCAGAGGTACGCGGGAACAGAAGAAGAATGAAATTCAAGTGCATTTTACTAAGTGAAAGAAGCTGGTCTCAAGAGGCTGTATGATTCCATTTACATGATATTCTGGAAAAGACAAAATTGACAGAGAGCAGGTTATTGATGCCCAGGGCTGTGGGTGAATGGAAGGAGGGGACTGACTATACGGGGGCACAGAAAATTGAGGGCAATAGAAAAGTTCTAGATGCTGATCATGGTGGTGGTTATGTAACTGTAACCTGGATTCTCTGGGAGTTTTTTAAATCTCACTCCCACAGCCACCACCTGGGCCCCTCAGCCCAAACGGTAAGCCTTTAAATGCCTTGCTAGGCAAAAGGCAGTATATGCTCTCACTCTCCCCTGCCTCTCCAGGGCTGTGATTTAGCCATTCTTCACTTCCTGGCACACATTCAGTGTTCAATAAATGAGTAAGATGTACCATCCCAAGGCAAGACACTTTTGGACTCTTCTATTGGACTACACTAAACATTGCCTGATTATGGGTTCTAATACTTTTCTTTCTTTTTTCAGTTGTGTGTGTGTGTGTGTGTGTATGTGTGTGAGAGAGAGAGAGTGCGCGTGCACAGGCTTGATTCTCCTAGCTAACACTTTCTCCTATGTTTTAATGAAAACCTACTATGTAACTGCACTGTTTTAAAGAGTTTTCTGTAGTAGGAATTCCTGTGAAATATTTCATTCATTGTATCAGGGAACAATCAGTTGATTTTAAAACCTGATAGATTTTTTTGGGCCTCCCCGGTGGCGCAGCGGTTGAGCGCTGGGTTGCGAAGCTGCCCAAGGCCTCTGCAGCGTGGGTTCGATCCCCGGCTGCTCCCCGGCTGCTCCCGGGGCCACCGGAGGAGGGTCCCGCATGGCGCGCAGACCTCTCCTGCCGCCCTGCTCCCCTCAGCAGTGTACTTTGGTCCTTCTGCCTTGCTCTGCTCCCCGCTCTGGCTCTGGTGAATCCTCTCACCCTCCGCACTTTGACTGTACCCAGTGCATGTATAAACTAACAAACAATCAAACAAACAAACAAACAAATAAATAAATAAAACATGCCTCTATTAAAAAAAATAATAAAATCTTAAAAAAAAATAATAAAACCTGATAGATTTTCACTGATTAACATGAAGTTCAAGGCACTAACCCTATGAGCACTGTGGGCAGGATTCCAGTGCTCACTCATTCATTAACAGAAGCAGCCATGCTGTGAGTGTTCACACCACCTCTGCTGTGGGGTGCCAGGGCTGCTGCAGGGCTGGGGAGCACCTTCCAGCTTCCTTACCTGAGTGCATACACCATCAGCTTACAAATGCCTGGCCCTTTCCGGAGTCGTTCCAGGACCAACCTAGGATCTGGAAACTGTATTGCAAGTTGTGGTGGGAGAGGATGTTTATCAGAACAGACGATGACTGTGCTCATGAAGGTGCGGACGTTGCTTTCAAAGGCAGCAACTCATTTCCAGCGGGATTCACATGTTTCTTACTGCTTTGAAAGGTATTATGATGGCTGGAAAGAGGCACAGTCCCTCAGATGGGGTAGGAGGTGGGGAAAGTGCCTAGGGGGGGCTTCAAATGGTATTTGTAATATTGTATTCTTTAAAATTAAAAAAAATTCAAAAGGCCTGAATGTTGGGCCTCCCCGGTGGCGCAGCGGTTGAGCGCTGGGTTGCGAAGCTTCTGTATTTCTTTCAATAATCCTTTCTTGATCTCCCCCCCCTCACCTCCCTCCCCTCCCGTCCCCGCCAGTGTCCTGTCCTCCCTCCCGCTCCCTCCCTCTCCTGTCCTGCGGGCTCCTGCCTAGACTGCCCGGGGAAGAAGGGACTTGTTCCGCGCGCCCTCAACGCCAGCGCGGGGTCCTTTGGTCCCGGCCGCAGCAGGTCAGCCGAGCCGCCGCGCTCCAGCCCGCACCGCGCCCTTCCCGGCGAAGGGGCCGCTCTGGGCTAACCGTTCTCAAGGACGGCTCCGGGGAGAAGTCAGCATCCTGGCGAGGCTAGAAAGCCAAGAGGACTCAGAATTTCAAAGGAAGGGGCGAGGGAGGGGTGAATCAGCCTCGCCTCACAAGCTAAAAATAATCAGGCTTTGTAGACTTCTTCCTCCGACTAGTTAGGCCGGAAGAGGGGAGGCGGAGGGAGAGGGTAGGATCTTTACATCGATCCTGACTATTGACTTCTGGCTGGTCAGTAAAGAGTTATGCTGGGAGCTTCCACTCTGGGCGCTCTCCCAAGTCTAATTCTTGTAACTAGAACATATCACTCCTGTCTTTGATGATAAATGTGATTGGTAGTAGCCAGGTCGGGGGTGACCGTCTGTCCCTCTCCTTAGAGGAAAGCCCAGCTGAGGACGTGCAAGAAGCACTTCCTGAGGAGGATGTGCCTTCGGGTGCCCGGAGCCCAGGAGCTTGACCTCTCTGGGGAGAGCCCCATGTCCATAAAGGCTGTGGGGACCGATGACAAATCCCCTCTTCTCCTAGATGGTTTCATAACAAAGAAGATAATGGACAGGAGGTGCTTTTAGCCTCCTTGAGGAAATCCAAGTGATGTTCCAGACTTCTGTGGTCAGATGCAAGCTGCCCACTTATGCCAGGGATGGATTTTCTCTTTACTGGCTTTCCTTGATTCCTGGCCTGCAAGGACTCTTTCCTGTGAGGGATGGTTCTCCTCCCCCACCCAAATCTGGGTGTTTGTAAAGCTGTCCTAAGTTCTTTCCGGAGTCATGACTTCCTTTACAAAGGTTGGAGGCATCCAGAAGCATCCAGAGAGCCCACTAACTGCCGCTGGGAAATGTTAAAGTTCCAGCTTTGACAAAGATTTTTTTTTTTTTTTTTTTTTTTGTCTGACCAAGCCTTCTCTTAGACCCATCTGTGCCTTCCTTGTAAAATCCAGTTTTAACAAGCACCCAGCTAAGTCAGTTTAACCAAAACCCCCCACCCCAGTACCTGGTCACCCTTGATATCTGCTCATGTTCCAGGTCGCCCACCATCCCTGGGTGATGTTTGCTGCCCCTAGCCTCTCTTCAGCAAGTATCCTGTTAAGTGGGTTTACCCAGAACGCCCTTTGCCCCAGCTGCTTCATCTTGTAATTTTCTACACAGTGACCCCCCAACCATGTCCCTACCTCTAAGTTCCCACTTGCCCGTTCCGTATTGGGAGTTGAGCCCACTTTCTTTCCCCCACCCACAAAATCCCTTTGCTGTGGCCCCTGTGCCTATCACCATGGTCTTGAATAAAGTCTGTCTTACTATCTTTAACCAGTGTCATTATTTTTTTTTTTCCTTTAACAATCTCAACTCTGACCCCTGGGCCAGGCATCCTTCCTGGGGCCTGTAAATAAGGATTAAAGTCCTTTGTCTATGGAGCCGCTGAGTAAAACCTTCTCCCTACAAATTAATTCTTCTTCAGTGTGATGACCATGACTACCTTCAATGCAGAAATCTCAGCAAGACCCAGAGCTGTTAAACAGCCAGTTTCCCTTTTCTTGGTGAATATGCCACCTCCACTGGCTTTTAAACATATTTCAAGGAGCTTATCTTTTTCCTCCAGGTGTTATTGCTAAATATTTATAGGACCTCATAGCTATGACTTTCCACAGGGATGGTTCTGAAAAGGAACAGTTCCATGAAGCTTCCAAGTAAGGGAAGAAGAGCCTCCCTGCCTAGATGTGGACCTGAAAACCCGGCAGGTTCCGCCCTCCTAAGTCCCCAAATGCATTTCTTTGATTTCCTCATAAGACAAAGTATGAAGTGCTAACATCTTTTGAGGACGTACACATCAGGCCATGTCCTCAGCCTTTAAACAAACCATCTCATCTAGCCCCTGCATGTACATGAGTACTGAAGTGCTTTTGTTTTTACTTTATTTGCATTTATTTTATCCTTAATTTATTCCAGGCCATAAATTTTTGTTCTCTCAGCTTTTTCTGGGATATCTTTTTCTTCCGGGTTACTTCCTCTTCTGGTTTAGGAACAAACAGCTCTTTTTCCATAAGGATCATCTCAGTGTGGCAGGGAGAGCTCTTGTGTGGGTCAGTCCAACCATGAGTTCTATAAATTCTGCGACATATCTAGGGGACTTCATTCACCTAGATGTGCTCCCATGACCAGATCATGTGCATCTAAACTCAATTTCAGCATTACTGGGCCTCCCTGGTGGCGCAAGGGGTTAAGATGCAACCTATGAAGCTGTCCACAGCCAACGCAGCATGAGTTCATTCGATCCCCAGCCAGGGAGCAACCCACATGGCACAGCAGACCTCTCCTGTCTTGCCCGCTGCTCCCTTCAGCAGTGTATTTCAGTCAATCTGACTGTTCTGTTCCCTGCTCTGTCTCTGGTGAATCCTCTCACCTCCCACACCCAGTTCTTGTCTGCATAAATAAAATAAATCTTAAAAAAAAATATTTCAGCATTACTCTCTGCATTTTGAAGCACGTGTTATAAAAATTCAGCATTCTTTTTGCGTCACCGACCCTGAGTCTAGCCCCACTGCTTGGCCCAGCCACACCTCCCAGTTCCCCATTGTGACGACAGAATGGCACACACTGCTTCTCGGTGACATCCTTCAGATACTTGGCAGCTTTTCAGACATACCCTCCATAGCCTGGGCATTTTCACGGGTGTTCTTAAAATGACATGAAGAGGGTCTCCCTGGTGGCTCAGGGGTTAAAGTTTCAGCACTATCAAGCTATTGCCAGCCACGATGGCATAAGTTCAATCCTTGCCCAGGGAGCTGACCCACATGGCGCAGCAGACCTCTCCTGTCTTGCCTGCTGCTCCCCTCAGCAGTGTATTTCAGTAGATCCACCTGTTCTGCTCCCCACTCTGTCTCTGGTGAATCCTTTCACCCCTACACCTGTGGCCTATACCCCAGTTCTTGTATGCATAAATAAATAAAAACATATCTTTTTTTAAAAAGTAATTTTTTTAAATTACGAAGATTTGAACCTCTTGACTTGTATGACTTTGTAGGATTTTCTGGAGAAAGTAAGTAACAAACCATTAAGATCATTAATGGTCACTTACAGGTAGAGGAAGAGTAGTGGCAACTGGGAGAATTTTGAGAACCCAAAGCTTGAACAGGATCTTAAAATGCC